ACTAGAAGCTGATAATCTACGAGTTATAAAGTATCCTAGATACGATTGTTTGTTAGTTTACTAATAACGACACCAGGAGATACGAACAGCTGTAGGAATATCCGTCATACTAGAAGCAGATAATCCACCAGTTATAAGGTATCTTAGATACTATTGCAATGTCGAATGTTCGAGAAATCGCCGAGTAACAAACATATTTGTAGATAGCTTTTATATGCGGAAACATCTGTAAGCTGAGTTCTTGCACAGATCTTAAAATATAACATTGATAAACGGAAACATCGGCACGTGTAGATATGTAGATCTTGAAAGTCGAGTTGTTCAAAACTTGAAAATAGCGTTGATAACTGGACCAATTGTTGGTTGAGGTGTTGCAAAGGAAATATATGCTGAAGCTTTTCGCCAGACACTAATCATATTAGAACCATCTGGAAAAATTATCTATAGGAAATAGTACAGCTTATAAAATGAATCAGATCAACGTAGGTCGGTAAGGCACTCACTGATTGGCATGTCGTTAAGCCAATCGGGAAATGTCACAGACCTACTGAAGGATGTGTAGATTGTATAGGAATTCTTTTTGGCGGCAAAGGACAGGTCTATGTGTTTTAATAAAGGTGGCTTCCTAAATATATATTTGTGTTGAATATGTCTTCTGCAGCGCCACGGCTCACAAATCAAAATCACTTTTACGTGCTGTAAATTACTCCTCTTTTACCGTTCAAGTTATATCGATATTTTAGCAGGCAACATTTATCTGAAATATGTCCATGTTTCACAGGTTCCAACAGTACCAGAAGAAAAACGTCTTAGTGTACGAAACAATAACCCAACTGATGTCAACTCCACGCTCCAAACCCCAAAATATCGCAGGTCTGTAACTCCTACAAGTGAGGTTCGAGTGCAGTACGATACAGTACAACACTCGCCAAGTGTTATAGCCAAGGGTACATCCAACACCCTCCCTACGCCCACGAATGTTTGTCAAGTCACTAATCTCTCCAGTAAGTTGTTCCTGATTTTGTTTGTTTGTTTTTTAATCCGATCAGAAATATAATTTTTTTCTCTAAAATATTTTGATTCAGATGTTTGTGTGACGTTATTCATGTTTGTATCTCCGTCTATGTGATAACGGAAATAAAATTAAGCTACGCTTAAGACAAGGAAACCCTTGAACCAACACCACTGGTTTTGGGGACGGTATCTCCAGGATGCCATTTCATATCTTATGTGTATATAGACCAGATGAAATTTTAAATAAGCACGTAACACTGACGACACATATACACGTTTATCTTCGACATATACGGACGAATGGAGCATGAAAGTCTAGTATTTCTACGACGGTATTCTTATCTTTAATATAATTCTTATTTTTGGTCCTGCAGGTTCAAGTTCGGGTAGTCTTAGTGGATCTAATATCAACAGTAGAGGAGACAGTGGCGTTTTTTTCTGATATCGGTGAAGAAAAAGAGGAGTTGAAGGTAGGCAATAATTATTGTCTGTGTCCTTTTGCTTGTCTTTCTGTCTGTCATGTTCTCAATTGAAAAATTATGATTACACACATATTTTCAGTTTTTTCTTTTTTTACTTGGCTGGATCAGTGGCAGCGCGAGGACTCGCCGCGACCCGGGGGCAATGCTCATTTTTCGGCTCCTCTACCTTCTGTGACCAACTGTTATTACTGTTTATCAGTAGCGTTATTTATCTATTTCTATTGTACTAACCACGTTATTTATTTGATTTGGTGGTTTCTTCTGCTAGCTTATTGGTAAGCTTGAGAGATTATAACGTTAAAATATTGGGTTCTATCTCTGCACTAGTTAATAAGTTTTAATCATTTTTCTAAAATTTCCGAACAGTTTTCTTATGGTGAAGTATAGTTCCAGTAAATTATTTTACCGGTTGCTCCCCCTTTTTTTTTTCGTTTAGCACTTATAAATTTACTCAAATATTTTCAGAATGGAAAATAGTTCGATAAATTACTATTCTACCGCTTGTTCTTTTTCTTTCTTTTTTTCTTTTTTTTTGCTTATTCTTATTTAACGAGCAATTCTAAAGCTACGAACTGGATGTGTCTAAAGGTTAGCTTGCCGAACTGTGAATCTGAGGATCCATGGTTCGTATTCCGTTGTTGCAAAATAACACTCCGTTTGTTTGTTTTTTAAGGGTATCTCCCGACGCCCCTAATTTTGAACTTCCGATCAATGAGAGGGCAACTTTCTAGCAATACCCACCGCCTACTTTGGGCTACTTTTACCGACATATAGTGGGATTAACCAGAGCTTTATAACGTCCTCACTTCTGAAAGGGCGAGTATGTTCAGCAACTGGTCTAGCACCCTAATCACTGGACCATACCACTCTACATATACGTAAGTAGTTAGTGAATTAAAAAACTAACTTCATTGTTCGATTAGAGTTGGCGTTGCGTGCTGTTAATTAGCTGCCTTCCCCTCTAGTCTATCAGTTCAAACTTGGGGACGGCTAGTGTAGTTTTAAGCGAATATACGAAACAAACAAATTCCAAAGTAACACGACTATTTTTTTTCTACCTGAATGACTGCAGGATGATTCCAAGGTAAACACCAATTTCCTACCTTCTCCAATACGTGAAAGTGAAATCACAGCTGACACCATCGTACTACCACAAAACAAATTCACGGTGTCAGCCGAGAGCAGTTCACAGCGAGCACTGACGTCGTCACGGATCGTCTCGACTAAAAACGTGGAAACAGCAGGGCAACAGTCGTTCAGCAGTAGTTCAAAGCAGTTAAAGAGTACAAGTAAGTAACAGTGGCTTTAATCTAAATTCAAAGTGTATACGAAAGAGCATAAACTATAATGTATACTTAACTTCGTTATTTCTTTCTTTTCTTTAATCTTTAATCAAAGTTTGTCCAAGAAGACCTTGAAATTGATAGAACTACTTTATATTTTTCATTAGAAACTCTGTTGGAATCGACAGCCATGGCATCCAATTACAGAAGATTAGGCGCTCTACGTCATAAAATCAGCAGCGAAGGTCAGGCACCGACGACAACAGTTGAAACTACTCTTACTAGTCCACCAATTTCAAGACCAAAAAAACCTGAACCCAGAGACTAATTCCCAAAACTATTTTTGAAAGTTCTTACGAAACACAATACGATCTGCAGCTTTTGGAGAGTCGATAACACCATATTTTACTATGTCTTCCACAAATAGTTCGTTACGGAGGCAGGTTTCGAAGTTCTTGCAGACCAGGGCTACGAGAAAAGAAGAATTTCATCGCATCAGGAGGAGGCGGGGTAGGACCGAGACAACTCGGCTGAATAAGAACCACCTGACTCCGAACTGTTATAGAACACTTTACTACCTACTCCTAAGATCAGCATATGTTATAGAACACGTTACTACCTACTCCTAAGATCAGCATATGTTATAGAACACGTTACTACCTACTCCTAAGATCAGCATATTGATCCGAAATTATTTTCCTTTCCAATAAGTAAACTAGTTTAAAACACTGTTGCTTAAAAAGCCCATTGATGAGGCACTAGTTTTTGTTGAGTAAATAATAACTATTTACTAAACTAAGGTAATTTTCCTCTCGAATGAAGAGACGCATCCTTTTCCAACCGTTTGAAACATTCAGAAATATCCGCCATGCTCAACCTAGTTCACACTGGAATGAAATATTCAGGAACATCCGCTATGCTCAACCTAGTTCACACTGGGCTACTATTTTATAGGTTCAAATTCCAATTTTTCTTGCATTTTTCGTGGCCGCGTAGTGGTTAATGTATCGAGCTAAGGATCGATTTATAGTCCAGGGTTCGAGACGTAATGACGCTGAACATGCTCCACTCTTTTATTGTGGAAGCGTTATAAAAGTAGTGGTCAATGCAGTTATTCGGTGCAAATATCCAGACAAAGCCTTTGTGGTAGCAGATGCTTCTTACTTACTGTCTTTACTCTGGTCAGTATACCTGAAACCTATGAATCCCTGATCTGGTTGTTAAGCCTACTTGCACATATAGTTCTGCTCAGTTTTAAAGTTTCAATTCTTGTTTTTTGTTTCGCTTTTTTGCAGGTTGTACTCTCAAGGAAAAGGCTTATTTTATGAAATTCCGTATTCTATTCACCAAATACAGTTAAACACTATTTTATATCAATTTCATCTTCTTTTTTTTATGATCTACAGTTTGCCAATCCCCACCTTATATTTACTCGTTTAATGAATTACAGTATTAGATTTTACTTGTAAAATCTGCCTGTCTAAAGTGACTCAGCGGTAAACTTGATGGCTTATAACGCTAAAAATTCGAACTTCTACAAGACAGCAAAACTATGATTAACCATTCAGAATACAGTGGGTTCCCACTATACATTGCATCGCTCTACGTCGTTTCATTATTAGAACGTTCACCAATTACTACCCATGTATCAAACAATGTTGCCTTGTTTCTTTACTAGAGCGATCCAACGTCGTCGACTACTTTTCCAGGTGTAGTGTTTACCAATTACTACCAATATTTTTGAAACAATGTCGCCTTATTTCATTAATAGAGTGTTAAAACATTGTCGGACTACTTTACCAGGCGTAGCGTTCTCCAATTACTATACAGTGCTGTACTACCAATATGTGTTTGAAGCAACGTTGCCGTATTCCATCACTAGAGCGTGCCAGTGTCGGACTAGTTTACTGAGCGGAGCGATACATCGTTCACTGACCAAGATGGCGGAGGCTATAGCCACGTTGTGTTCACGCGCCATTGTCTAAGTACATTGTTTTTTCTGCTGCAGAACATGGCTCCAAAGTGGTCACCTAGTGATAGTAAAGTACCCCTTGACAAGAAGTCCAGGAAAACAATCAACTTTTGAAAATTAAACTGTTTAGGCCTTTAATGTTCTTACATGTATGTTTTGTACAGTACACTGTAGTTAAAAGAGCCACATTACACCCTTGAAAATAGTTATTCAAGAGTGGACCGAAATATTTCAGGAACGCATCTCCCCTTAATACATCTAAACTTTGTGTTCCTTAACGTCGTTTCAGACGTACGTCCCACTTTCCAGGAACGCATCACGACGTACAACGGGGACTTCCTGCATTCTGAATGAACCTGTGAATCTAAACTTCTTATTTCAGGAAAATACAACTTGTCTTATCGCATCTTTTCTGTTCTCAAAGATACTAAAAATTTAAACAAGTTATTTATTGAAAAAATAAAGAATAATTGTTTTAATAGTTTATTATTTTGTGTGCAAGACACAAACTACATTTATCTTGAAAAACGCATAAAAAGTTTGATCTTTCATAATCAAAGAAACGCATGCTAACTACACATAACCTAGAAAATGTCGTTTTTCTTTTAAACGTCCAATTTTTCGGAGAAAGAACAAAGGAATTTTGAAGCGCAAAAGTGGTTTCACAGCGGGTGGACCCTTTCTGAGCAAACTATTGAGGTGCATTTTTTAGTCCAAGAAACTATCACGTGCGTAAAGTTATTCAAGATAAGATAAATATTTAAACAAGTGTTAAAATAATTCTCATTTTATGCCTTGTTTTGTGTTTTTGTTAGGTGTTATTAGCTCAAGTATGTATATTTCTTGTCGTACGCAGGGGCGTCATTTCACAAAAGGTTTGAGGATGGGCCTCGAGTGTACCCAACAATTTCAGCTGGGGGCCCTAATCTAAGGCATAATTTTTGTCTAAGAATATCTCACAACAACTGCAATTTTTGGCCTCCCTTCCAAACCTGCTTGAGGGAGTGGCCGTCCCTGTTGGACCTCCGAATGACGCCCCTGCTTTAGGTGTTAATAATCAAAGTAATAAACGTTATTTACACTATATATTAATACTTTTGATTTTGTATAATTTAGGTGATGCCTTTTTCTTTAGTTATTAGCATATTTTAAAGTGTCGTTTGTGTTCTAGTCGATGTAAACTGTTTCTTAACCATTACTGTATCAAAGCATTTTTCCAGTAAATCCTGGAATTTTTAATAAGACTTTATTTTTGTTAGGAATAAAAAAATTGAGAAAAAAAAAATTCTTTTTTGCATTAAAAGTGTTCGATAAATAACTGTCAAAGTGTGTTTTTTCTGCCCTAAAAGTAGGGAAGTTATAGTTAGCGTTTCCCTTATCCGAATAGCTTAAATATGTAAAGTTGAACCAAGATTAATAATACTTTGTGTTTCTTGGCAGTTAATTGTTAATCTACGATAATTAAAATAAAATAATAAAAATATTCGTAAACATTTACCGATGAAGAAGTCAACACGTGTACTTTTGGTACAACTTTAACATTACAGTGACGTTTAGCAATTCTTAAAATCTTTACTGTAAATACTCAGAATCAAATAGTACTATTAAATCCATATAATCTTCAACAAAATGACATCTCTGGCACTAGAATATTATCGTGATGTATGAGATGTATTGTTGCTGACTGGGGGTAGTGGGTATACATTATCCAGAGATGTGCTTCATCTGTCATTGCAAGGTAATGACTCCAGTTTAAAAAAGTAGCTAGTGATCGTTTTTGTAATTTTTCAATAATCGTAATATACTCTGGATAAATACCAGACAATTTAAAAGTTATAGCAAATACAACTAATTACTAAGAAAAAATTACTGTTTCGCTGTATCAGCTTTATATTATTCTAGCGTAACCCAAAACTGAAAACAAGAAGAACGAAGGGAGAGATTTAAATAATTCAGAAGAAAACATCGACAGTTTAATAATAATAATATACATAATGTATCATTCCTTACTACAACAGTACCGAAATCGATTATCTCAAACATCGAGGGGGGGGGGGTTATGTAAAGAATAACGTGGCTGTTCACGATTGGTCGGAGTACGTCGAGAGGAACCGTACTGTAATCATTATGATCATTAGGTGGTAGTTAACACCGAGTATATAACCTTCCTCCACAGTGTGTCCATGGTATTTGTACCAGAAAGAAGTGCAGAACAGCTGAAATACTCCGTTAACAATAATAATAATAAAAGCAGAAAATGGAACCTTAGGGGCAGAGAATTAATTTCGGAAAATGGAAATAAGAAAACAAAAACTTGGGTTCAGATTTCCGAGAAAAATAAACATTCTCTCTCAAACCTGGTGTTAATCTTAGACTTCTTTCTGTTGAAGAGAAATCAGAAGAAAATAAATATATAAGAAAACAGATTCACACTTTATCAAGTTTTATAGGGACCAATAATGTAAAGAGAAAAAAAAGCTCTATTCCCGTGTGTGTGTGTGTTTTTTTAAGGGAGGGGTTGATGGTGCAGTGAAGCCTTTGAGTGGGAACAAGCTGATTCCAAGATCGTCAGGGGTTGCAAAGCGTAGTAAATGACCACATTTCAGGATCCTCAAGATTGTATTTGGGAGTAAACTGGCCAACATCTATTATTCTCAAGAGTGTAGTTTGGGACAAAATGGCCACCTTCCGAGATTCTCGTGATTCTGGGTTAAAGTAAACTGGCCATGTTCCAAGACCCTCAGGACTCTAGGATCAAACCCATGGTGAGGTAAATAAAAACAAAAACGTTTAGCTACAATGGTTAAAATGAAACAGGATTACCAACAATTATAAAAAAAACAAAAAAGTCACCCCATAACATATACGATAAGATGAGCGAATTGTTTCGTCACAGTGGCCACATAAAAAATAAAGGATTTTCAACTTTGCAATAAATGCACCCCCATATTTCATCATTTTGACTACAAGTTAGGTAACAATTTCTCTTTTAAACTAAGACCAAGAGTTTTAAGTAGTTCCATACATGAGAAACTAGACCAATAAATGTAAATAAGGTGTTGGGATCACTAAACATTTTGAAAACTGGTTTATTTTATTAAAAAAAAAATCAGGAAAAAGTTAATTAATGGACGTCATGATGGTAATATTTCAAGCGAGTTCTCTGTAAGCAGAACGAAGCTCTAACCAAAAAGGTATGAGTCTTTCAAGCACGCTTATCAGGATAATATATGTGTTCACCCACTTAAAACTACTGATTCTTTCAAGCTCATTCATTGTGACAATATGCCTGTCCAGCCACTTAAAACTACTGGTTATTTCAAGCACATTAATTGTGACAATATGTCTGTCCAGCCACTTAAAACTACTGATTCTTTCAAGCACATTCATTGTGACAATATGTCTGTCCAGCCACTTAAAACTACTGGTTATTTCAAGCACATTAATTGTGACAATATGTCTGTCCAGCCACTTAAAACTACTGGTTCTTTCAAGCACATTCATTGTGACAATAAGTCTGTCCAGCCAGTTTAAACTACTGGTTCTTTCACATCGTGACAACATACATGTCCAGCCATTTAAAACTACTGGTTCTTTCAAGCACATTCATCGTGACAGTATACATGTCTAGCTACTTAAAACTACTGGTTCTTTCAGGCAAACACATCGTGACAGCATACGTGTCCAGCCACTTAAACTACTGTTTTTTTTTAAATACAATGGTCGTGATAATATACATGTTCAGCGACTTAAAACCACTAGGTTTCAAGAACATTCATGGTGACATTACAAGTGTTCAGTGACTTAAAAACTATTGTTTTTTGTTTGTAAACAATAGTTTTTAAGTCACTGAACACTTGTAATGTCACCATGAATGTTCTTGAAACCTAGTGGTTTTAAGTCGCTGAACATGTATATTATCACGCCCATTGTATTTAAAAACTTTCGAGCAGATTCATTGTAACAACATACACATCCTTATTGACGTAATAACTACTGGTTTGTAAAGCACATTCATCGTGACAATACACGTGTTAAGTCACTTAAACTACTAGCTATTGCCATAGCTTTTGAAAATATTTCTTGAGCAAAATCACTTTACGAGAAACATTGGTTTCTATTCTTTGAATATAAGAAACTCGCATATCACTTATTTATATGTTAAGGCTGGTTGGTAGTACAATAATTGTAGGACAGATGGCGTGCTCTTGACAGATATTCATTTAAAAATATTTATGTGTATTACGATGCATTAACCAAATTTAGGAATTTTTTTTAGAATAAGTTGAACTGAATTAAACCTTTTAAAATTTCTATAAGTTTTAAACTTAATGCTCCGGTTGTTCATGTGACTGAATATCGTAATTACTTAATCCCCCTTAGTGTAACTTCAAAAAGTTTTGCTTGCGATAATTAGAATTCAGATATGCAGGCGCTACTGATATTTAAAAATATGTCGCTCTGACAATATTGTCTCCTAAAGTTAAACACTTTAATAATCGCATAAGCATTATATATATATATAACATTAGATTAAT